TAGTGAAACCTGGACATTATCCAGTGCACTGGAGTCTCGTCTTGATGCCTTTTGTAATAGGTCCTTGCGCCGGATCATGGGGTACTGTTGGCGGGACCATGTGTCTAACCAACGGCTGCACCGTGAGACTGGTACAGGACTTGTTACCTGCACAATCTGGGATTGCCAACTCAGGCTATATGGCCACCTGGCTCGCTTTCCACAGGCTGATCCTGGTCATCAGGTTGTCTCAGTAAGAGACAACCCTGGGTGGAGGAGGCCTGTGGGACGACCTAGGAGGTCGTGGTTTGGGCAGATCGATCAAACCTGTCGGGAAGAGCACGAGATGGGCCGAGTCCCTGCCTGGTGGCTTGCCATGAGGGATCCCAAAAGGTGGAAGCAAAAGGTGGACGCGGCTATGCGCCCCCGTCGGCGTTAGCTCCTGATGATGTTGATGATGAAAGGCGCAATTTTGGGGAGAGCCCCTTCTGTACACATACTAAAAGTGAGAGCCGTGTTGAAAGGTTTCAAGGATGGCCTAGTGCCAGTCCTGAGCAGCCCTTTGCTATTCCCTCTATACCCTTTTCACTACCATGCTACGGCGACTACGACCTTGACGTCGAACATGCCAATCCCTTGCCCGTTGTTGTCGTAGGGGGCTTAGGAGACGGAGACTGAGACCCAATGCAGGGATCTCCCCTGCCTAGGGCCTCAGCCCTCGACTCGACTAATTTTGCATGGCCTTTTCTCCCTCCTGCTTTTTTGTTTCCGTCCCTTCTCCAACCCCTTCTACTATCTACTTCCTAAAGTGTAAGAGCGTGTTGAAAGGATGAAAGGCCGACTTTGTGCCAGTCCTGAACGGCCCGAGGGAACCATGGGCACGGTATTTCCCTGTTTTAGTTGTCTAGCCCTTACCCCTCATGGGGACCCTGAGGGGTGGACTGTTTATTTCCCCAACATAGTCAAGGCTTCCCATGGCCAATAATGAAGTAATACCCATATTAGAGGCAATGAGGCTTGCCCCTTTATCAAATAGCCACACCAATTCAGACACTACCGGCTCCCCGACTCCAGACTCTCCTTTGACCACGACTCTGAACACCACAACTACTACCCACTCCTCAATGCCTACTAGTGCATTACCCACCCAAGCAGACTCAATCTCCAGAAGACATCCCTACTCTCCCAACTTCATCACCTATACCACTACAACCTTCATCATCAAACACGCCATCCTCCCTTATTACTACCTTACAGCCTTATTCTCCATCTCTCCGCAATACTACCCCCCCTCAACAACACTTCCTTTTTCCACACGCCCCCGTCTTTCTACCACCACCAACCCTACAAATATCTTATATACTTTATTTAGCCCTGCTAAATAGGACCGATTTTTCGTGATCCCCCTACAGTTCCTTACTCAGGGAACACTCTTCTCTTCCCACAATGTTTCCAAAAACATGTAGGCAGAGTCCCTTTCCGTACCCGACGCAATCGGTCCCGTCTCCTAAGTCACATCTGAAACTGAAGCTATAACATTATCAAATCTAACATCTCTCTGGCAACCCCATTCCTGCAGAACCTCATCCAACTCTTAATACTTGTACCGTAACTGTCTCTATTTCCCCAGCAAACCGGTCAGTCGATACCAAAGATTGGTCAGATTGTGGAGAATACTTACTCGGCTACCTCAAAGACCGTGATCTGATATCAGTACAATGCTACTCCATTCCTCCTAGAGGTAATCGAAAGAAACCCGCCAAAATTGCCAAAATTACTTTCCGCACACATGACCTTCCCTTTCGTATCTACATTGGTGGACAATCCCTCCCTGTTCGACCATGCCAACCCTCTCCCTGTCAATGTCAAAACTGTAGGCGCTTTGGACATCATGCCAAACACTGCCGTTCCACAGACCGTTGCCCCATATGTGCCCAACCCGGTCATGACCATCAAACTGCTCTGCACAAACACGCACATGTGCTAACTGCGGTGGCCCCCATAATGTATTTTATAGAGGCTGTCTCGCTTACAAGTTCGAGTCTGAGGTAGCAACTCTCAGATACAAAAATGGTCTCACTCTACGTGAAACCAGACAGGAAGTACGCCGACAAGGTTTCCCTCATACCCCCTACTCTAGTAATGTCGCTCGCTCTGCCCCTTCCCCTCCACCCCAAGATGTTCCTACACCCTCCCCTATATCTACTGACTTCCCCACTTCCACTTCTACATTCTACCTCCCCCAGGCAAATTCTTTTGCCACTTCAAATACAGACACTCCAATCTCAACCACAGCTCCAATCTCAACTACAGCCCCAACACCGTCCCCTCTCCCTTTCCTCACTACCCGCAGCAGACAGATTAAACGATCTTCCCCTACCGCACACTCACCTCCACCTACTTTTACCTTTACTCCTCAGACACCAGTCTCCTCTTCCTCTCCTCACAAGAAAACCTTTGTCTTACAAAACTCTTCAACCAACTCCACTGCAGAAACTATGGAAAATATTCAAAGCTATATGCTAGACACAAAATTCCACTCATGCTCCCTCCACACTCGAAGTGACTGCCGATATCCATCCCCCTCCCGCTCATATTCCCCCTACACTCCTCCCTCCTAGTCCTTCTCAACACAACCTAACCCCCTCAATTCCGTCCACCACCGATATCCATCCTCCTCTTACTCATATTCCCGCTACACCCCTTCCTCCTACTCCCAACTATCCATCCTTCCGATATCCATCCTCCTACTACTATTCCCCCCACACCATTTCCTCCTACTCCCTCCAAACACAATCCATCCCCCTCAGCTCCAACAACATGTACATTAACCCTTCCTCCATCCCCTCTATCCTCTCCACTCCCTCCTGGATACACGTGAATCACTCATGTCACAACAATGCCCTTCCCCAGATCCCTCGCCTCCTGATACCCCTCCTGATACTACATCAACCCCCCTCCTACTCCCAACTATCCATCCTTCCGATATCCATCCTCCTCTAATTCCTTATCACACCCCCTAGCTCCTTCCCTCCCAGATTCCCCAAAACGTACCGTATGCTTTATCACATAAAATAACTAAGATATAGCTCTCCTTCATTGGAATCTTTGCGGTTTCCGTTCTCACATGCCAGACCTTCGTCATATCCTTGCTTTTTATAATCCATCCATTATCTGCCTCCAAGAGACTTTCCTTACACATCCTCCTATTCCAATTTCCAATTACCAGTTTGCCTCTTCCTCATACTCCCTTTATGTCTCGTCTATACTTATCCATCAGAAAACACCTTATGCCATACATCCCTTACAAACCACTGTCCCGTGCACAGTTATTCCCATTTTTCTTAGCCGTTGGGTAACAGTGATTTCAGTCGACTCCCTTTCCCATCCCATTGACTTTGTTGCCTTTGAAACTAATTTCCCAACTCCAACCACCTTTCCTCCTAGTTTGTAATTTTTCAACTGCGCGCCACTCGTGGGGTGATTCTATCAACCACCGCCGAGGCCGATCTCTAGAACGCTTCCTCTCCACAAATAACTCATTTATCCTTAATTCAGATCGCCCCACACTGGCATGCGCACACAATCCTTTTCATGCCTTGACCTCTCTCTATGCTCCCCTTCTCTTCATTTAGATGTCCACTGGTCAGTTCTAGACCACTTTCCTTATACTGACTACTTCCCAGTTATCCTTTCTCCTACTTCATATGTACCCCTTCCTAATCCCCCACGCTGGTGCTTTAATAGAGCTGACTGACGTACTTTCACCGGGCCACTCTAGAGAAAAGGCCCGGGCGAAGCATGACTTCGCAAATCTAACTGAACTGAACTGTACTTTCA